CTATCCCTGAGCACTTCTGCTCAAGGCTAGTGCTCTAATACATTGGGTTACAATACTACTTCCAGTGTTTGGCTGGTTAGAGATAAGAGTCTTGAGCCATGCTTCCAGCCTGGCTCTTTGCAGGTTAGTTGGGAGATGGAGTCTTAGGGATTTTCCAGCCCTGGCTGGCTTTGAACTGCAATCTTTGCCACAAAAGCCCTTTATTATTTCCATTTAAAGCAACAAGGAGATCAAGTAGAATAAGTAGAGTTTATCTGGTTCTTATCAAGAATTGCCAACAAATAGGGGCTGGGAAGTTGGCTCAGTGGTAGAGCGCTTGCCTTGCATGCCTGAGGCTCTGGGTTCGATTCCTCAGCACCACATAAGCAAAAAGAAAAAAGCCAGAAGTGGTGCTGTGGCTCAAGTGGAAGAGCGCCAGCCTTGAGGTGAAGAGCTGAGGGACAGCGCCCAGGCCCAGAGTTCATGCCCCACAACCGGACCCAAAAAGAAAGAAAAAAAAAAAAAGAATTGCCAACAAATATTCTGAAATGACAAAACTCATTGGATGTGAGAATCTTAGCACAGATATGCCCAATATTTTAGAGTCATGTAGTCAGTACCAGAATACACAACACACACACAAAAAGACAAAACTCAAAACCTAAAATTTTGACAACAACGTTTAGACATCTTTGCTAACAAAGTACATCAGATGGTTGGGCCTCAGTTACCAGGGCCTATGAAAAGAGGAACTTGTTAGCAAGGCACCTTAGAATAGATGGATGGAGTAGTAAGCTTGGTGGAAGGTTAAGGGTCAGATGGAGCCAAACCCTTAACCCACCATGTGGTTAATATGGTGAACTCAAGATGGCGAATTTCTGAAAAAATGCAAAGAAACCCTGAACAAATAGATCAAGCCTACATTGGCTAGCCTTTGAGAGGGAACCTAGCGGGGGGTCCCCAGGACCCAGCCTGCATCACACTCTTCAGGGCACGAGCCAAAAAGTTGTAGAAAAAAGGAGAGAAAGTTGGACATGATTAACAGAGAGAGCAAAGAGAGCCTAAAAGTAAACAGACTTCTGCCCATGTACCATTGCAGAGACAAAAATTGTCTAGATCTGAGAACAGCATAAACACTTAGGCGCTCTGGCTTTCCAGGGAGCGCAGGAGGCATTTCAGAGGGGTTTCACGGCTCGGGCATGATTCGCAGCACCCCATTAAATGTGTAGGAGAGTCAGTCTGGTGAGTGAAGGAGAGCTGACCAGGCAGAAGCGGCGTCCCAACTTCCCCCAGAGCCCTCTAGAGAGAAATGGCCAAGCCCCCAAAACCAAGCGTCTTCAGCTTCAGAGGTGGCATCATGTCTCTGACAGAGACTGAACAACAGAGAGCTGTAGAGAGTACTTTCACTCACCAGAGTAGAGAAGTGGTGTGGATGTGGGTGTGAAGGCCAGCAATGGTATCGATGCGCTGTGTCCGCAGCAGACAGATGGGTTCGCAAAAGGCCACCAGAACTGTGGGTATTCCTTGTGCAGAAAAGGGGGGAAAAACAATAAAAAGAAAAAACAAAAAAAAGAAAGAAAAAAATGGAGAAGAATCCCACCTATCCTGACTTTAAGCCCTTCCCGGGTTTCGGCACCATTTATGTTAGGTTTTTAAAAAGAGATAGCCAAGTAAGAACAGCATCAAGCATGTGGTATTCAGGTAAGGGGTAGGTTTATTCAGTAGACCTGCTGGGACCAGGCCAGGTTGGCACTCCACGCAGCTGGCAAAGAGCTGGGAAAGAGAGAGCTGGGAAAGAGCCTCCTTCTCCCTCTTAACTCCACTTGCATGGATGGAACTGAACTTACATCTTTTTGCTTACCTGTACTTCCTGCTGCATGCTAGCTGTTTGTAAATGTCCATGGGACCTGCAGAAACCAAATCCTAGATCTTTGCCTTCCCTCTACTACTCAGTGTCGTGTGTAGAGTAGATAGTGTTATGTTTGAAAGATTGAGTTTTGTTATCTTTCAAAACTAGGGAAGCGCCCTAAGACATTTTTCTGTGACAGACACCCTTGGCAGGGCAGTCCCCCTCGTTTTTGTGTAAGCAAAGAGAGGAGCACAGGCTGTATTCACCAAGCACAGCAACACAAAATAGGTCACTGCTTTAGAAGAGGGAAAGCAATGCCAAAATCACCGTCACGAATAATTCTGACTTGAACATACTGTCAGGAAGCTGAAAGGTCAATGAAGTTTTAAAAAATTTTTTTCTCAAGATTTTCATAACTGCTAGTGTTCTGTTTACTGTTTCCCATCTAGTTTCCTCCAGTAACCATACAATGGAATTGTGTGTGGTAGCCAATACTCTGACTGAAAGAAGCAAAGATTAGAATTAGAAACTTTTGTATAAGCAGATATGAAGAGTTGTTAGGCTTAAAATGCTGAAGATGTAATTTCCTGACATCTGACCAAGTCCACCTATATCTTTATGAGCAGTAGCCAGTTTTCTGAGAATTGCTATGAAAAGAATATTAGAAACAAATGATCAGAATGTCTCCCTCCTGGCAGGTAATGTTTTAAAGCATTCTTTTAAATATATATTATGAAATATGAATCAATTCAGTTGTTTAAAAAGTAGCTTGTATTTGAGATCTTAAATATTTTGAACAAATATCAATTTAAATTAAGAGAAGTAAAGCTGTCATTTGTGGGATTAAAATGATACTTCATCATTTTCTAAGGTAGTTTTGATAAAAATGTAAAAAGGAAAAAATCTTATATAAACTATTGGGCATATAAATCTGCCCTTCCCTTTCCCACCTTTTTTCTCTTCCTTCCCCTACTTGAAAATATTACTATGTAATTCAGGCTAGCCTCAGACTCAGCCATCCTCCAGCTTCAGCCTCCTTGCATGCATGAGGCCCTGGGTTCAATTCCTCAGCACCACATAAGCAAAAAGAAAAAAGCCGGAAGTGGCGCTGTGGCTCAAATGGTAGAGCGCTAGCCTTGAGCTGAAGAGCTGAGGGACAGCGCCTAGGCCAAGAGTTCAGGCCCCATGACCAGACCCCCCCCCCCAAAAAAAAAAAAAAAAAAAAAAAAAAAAGAAAGAAAAATACTCCAGGCTAGCCTAGGCATAAATGTGAGACCCTGTTTGAAAAGTACCTAAAGCAAAAAAGATTGGGGTGTAGAGTGCTTTCCTGTCTAGTGAAAGGCCCTGGTTTAAGCCTTAGTACCATAAAAAAAAGAAAAGAAAAACAAAGAAAAACTTAAACATATACTTTCACGGACTTTCCTGCCTGGGCTGGCTTTGAACCGAGATTCTCAGATCTCAGCCTCCTTAGTAGCTAGGATTACAGGCGTGAGCCACCGGCGCCCGGCCTTAGTGAAGATCTGAAGGCACTTAGTGAAGGCACTTTTACATAAAAGGTAGCTTTTGTAGTAATGCACATGCTTTCCTGTATAAAAATAAAGAACTTGTTTCTTTACTGTTACTTAAAAAAAATGTAGGTTTCTTTGTGTGATTCTTTCTTGTTCTAGATGAATGCTAGTATTTGGAGTGGTTTTTGCTTTTGAGCATTTTATCAAAATCATGGCTAACTTTATGGAAACATAAAATGAAAATTTAAGTGAGAGTTACAATTGGGTAACAGTACAGTTCTTTATTTTTCAGAATCTGATGCTTAAGGCCTATATAGGTACCAAGTGCCTTAAGCCCAGATTTTCAAACTAATTGGTACCCTGTTAACATTTATCTGAAAGGAGCAAAAATTAAACATTTTCTTTGGCTTAAGGAATTAAATACATTGCCCTCTTTCCAGTGGCTTGATGCTAGGAAGATGATCGAGGATGGAAGATTGCTTTTGCTATTAGTGGCAAGTGCTAGGGTGACTGTGGAAACTTGAGAACGAGACAGAGAAATGCTGATGGATATGAAGGTGGACACAGGCTAAATAGTGACCTGACCTAGGTAATGAGGTAGTTAAAATTATCAAAAAGATTTACGTTCTTCCAGTTGAGCCACAGCTCCACTTCTGGCTTTTTGGTGGTTAACTGGAGATATGAGACTCATGAACTTTCCTGCCCAGGCTGGCTTCATACGTCAGTCTTCAGATCTTAGCCTCCTGAGTAGTAGGATTTCAGGCATGAGGCATCAACACCAGGACTTTCTTTAATTTTTTTAGTTGTGAAGTTATATGAAGTTTTTATTTTAATTCTGTTACTGATGATGGTGTCCTGTTTACTAATTACTGTGTGTCCAAGTTTTGTTTACTCAGAATGACAATATTATTTTCATTACTTTTTGGTAGTTATGACAAGTTGTTTTATATAAAGCTGTATCTTAAAAAAAAAAATCTTGGTGCCAGCCTGTGTTTTTGTTAAAATTGGCCTTATTCCAGCAAACTACTACTGTGCAAGTTAGAGTTTATGATGTGTGACTCTATTTTTTGTTTAGTTGCTAAAACTCATCTTAGACATTTTTCTTCAAAGCATTTATCAGTTTCAGCCACTGTTGGATCCTTTTTTCCCCAGTGCCTCAGAATAAAAGACACATTATTCTAACTAATCTGAATTCCATGTGTTTTAATTAAATTGTTTAGATTGCATAGCTTTTAGTTTTTCTATTCAGATCGTCCAACAGGCTAACTACCTGTTCTTAGCCTTGGCCTTAAATCTCTTCTCCACCAAATTCTCCATCAATGTGGGTTGGGAGTGACCCCTTAAAGCTTCAGGCAGAGGGCTATAAGAAAAGAATTAGTGCTTTTTATTTCCTTTTCCATGTATTAGGCCCACTAAAAAGAATGTAACACATGTAGTAGCTTATTTTCATTTTCAAAGAAGGCATTGAAGAGCTCATGACACTCATTGCCTACGTGGCTTTGAAAAGGCTTATTAAAAACATTCCACTGTGGTTCCAAATCCTTTTAGTCTTTCCACAAGCAATAGAGCAGCAGCTGCCTGGGCAGCAGCGCTGGGGATCACCCTGAGCACCCCGGCTTCACAGTGAGGTCCTCACCTCATGTTCATCTCTGTTTTCCTTGTAGTTACCGCTGTGATGATTTCGTGGTTAATGACACCAAGCTGGGACTAGTACAGAAAGTCAGAGAACACTTACAGAACTTGGAAAAGTAAGTAGTTGGTCTTTGGAAGGATAAGAGGATGCAGTGGGTTGGATGGGTTATTTAAAATTGTTGGGTGGGGGCTGGGAAGGTGGCTCAGTGGTAGAGCGCTTGCCTTGCATGCCTGAGGCCCTGGGTTCGATTCCTCAGCACCACATAAGCAAAAAAATAAAAATAAAATTGTTGGGTGAGTTCTATAACTTTAGCATGTTTAAGTGGGATTGAAATGTTATCAAGCCTTGGTGTTGATGTATGAAATTTGCTTATAAGCTATATCATAAGCTATAGGGCCCCAGAGCCTGTTTTTTAGGTACCACTCACAAATTTAGAAGCTAGTCAGTGTATCTGCAAGGGGAATTTTGAGAGTGGAAAGAAAGAGCAGAAAAAGATAAAATCTATTTATGAAGTTACTTTTGGTATTCAAAAATCTCTTGTCAAATATATTATTAGATCTGCCTAGAAAGATTAAGGAAAATTAGGTTTAAATACCATACTATATAGCACAGGATCACAGTTTTTTCACTTCATTTTTTTTTGTCAGGGTTAGCACATACAATTTGAAATTATAAAGAGGTGTGAATGCTTTGTGATCATAAAGAAGTTGAAAAATTTATGTGAATATTTTTCTTGCTAAGCCAAATTGCTTATTCAGATAAAAGCCACTGGACTTCAAATTAAAGCAATAAACTAAATCAAATAGCAATAGCCTTTGAGCCTAAAGAGATAGAAGCGTGGCTCTGGAATGATTGCTTGCGCAGTGAAATCTGTGTAAATCACTTCACATCAGGTGCCATCTAAGTTATTTTTGCCAGTTGATGCATAGAAAGTTGGATGGGTGAGAACCCACCCAAAGCAGGCCACCTTGGGTCAGCTTAGAGCCAGCATAGCATTCAGCCAATACCAAGCCACTGTGCAGTGTCTGCTCACCAGGCTTTTATGCACTGCCTGGCCAGATTATAGGGCTGATAAAGGAAGATGCCAATTAAAACTCTTTGGGGTCAAGTACTTTTGTCATCTTGGGCATTTTCTGTTTTAATTAGAGTCCCATGTATGTAGGATTAGAGACAGAGGCATCATACGAATCTAAATATTCATTTTGCTGCAGTCACTCATGATAAACTGTGAAGGAGTAGAGTCCCGAGGAAGTTTGTGTAGGAACACCTACACCACTGTAAAGAATTTCCGCCTGTAATCCTAGCTACTCAGGAGGCTGAGATCTGAGGATCACAATTCAAAGCCAGCCCAGGCAGAAAAGTCTGTGAAAGGGCTGGGAAGGTGGCTCAGTGGTAAAGCGCTTGCCTTGCAAGCCTGAGGCCCTGGGTTCGATTCCTCAGCACCACATACGCAAAAAGAAAAGAAAAAAGCCAGAAGTGGTGCTGTGGCTCAAGTGGTAGAGCGCTAGCCTTGAGCTGAAGAGCTGAGGGACAGCGCCCAGGCCCAGAGTTCAGGCCCCACAACCGGACCCTCCCCCCCCCCCCCAAAAAAAAAAAAAAAAGAAAAGTCTGTGAGACTCTTATCTCCAATAAACCATTAGAAAACTGGAAGTGGTGCTGTGGCTCAAGCAGTAGAGTGCTCGCCTTGAGCTGAAGAGCACAGGGACAGCACCCAGGCCCAGAGTTCAAGCCCCACAACTGACAGAAAAAAAAAAAAAAAAAGAATTTCCATGCTTGCTTCTGTTGGGGAAGTTAAGTAGCTACCAGAATGTTTTCTCTGCCTCTGAGAAAGCCTGCTCTATTAATCCAGATTAAGTTGTTCAGACCTAAATTAAAGAAAACAGAGGGCCTTCCAAAATGTGTGTTTATAATACATGGGGTGGGAATATCTGGCCCTTGAGTTGTATAAGGCCTGAAAAGTCATTTGGTACTTGATGAGACAGACATGGCTTCCTGTTGTCTTTTTGTATTGAGGATTAGGTATGGCCCTCCAGTGGTACTATAAATATCCAAAAGGTCCTTGGCAGAACAAGGTCCCAGCCTTACTAGGAACTATTCTTTCTGTTGACTACTCCATCAGGTAAAAGGTGTCACATATACCTTCTGCTTGTAGTCTGTGTCCTCTGATGTTTCACAGACTTAGGCTTTAATGGAGCAGCTGTGGGATCTATGATTACACTTGTGTTTTTTGTATGCAGCACCAGGGTGATGGGTGCAGCAGGAGGAACCTGAGGTGATGGGGGAGTTTCCTGATTTGCTTTCTCTAACGCTGTAGCCACTTGAGCATTTAAAAAGCTGTACATGCCACTGACAAACTGAATTTTAAACTTCTGTTAAACTCAACTAAGTTTAAATAGCATATGTAGTGAACTAGTGGCTACCATAGTAGTGTGGATCTAGAAGAGTGTGTCAAGTGTGGATCTAGAAGAGTGTGTCATTTTGAAGGTGAAATGTAACAACTTTAGTTAAAAATCCCCAAGTGCATGATCATTAAGTAGTACAGACACTGTTGGCGATTCGACCTCTTCTCTTGAGAATTTTGTGAAGGAGTCTGTGGAATACTGTACTGTATGGAACTGGCCTGTTCATTTTGTAGTCTGAGAAAGACACAGTTCAGGAGACTATTTTAAAGATTTGAAGCAGCTGTCACTAGATTTGATGTTCCAAAGACACTGTAGTTCATGTGGAAATTCTGGAAAGAAAAATAATTATGTCTTTACATTGGATTAGTTTGGTACCTTTAGAAATTGGGAAAGAATGGGCTGGGGAAGGTGGCTCAGTGGTAGAGTGCTTGCCTTGCATGCATGAGACCCTGAGTTCGATTCCTCAGCACCACATAAATAGAAAACGCCGAGGGACAGGACCCAGGCCCAGAGTTCAAGCCCCATGACCAACCAAAAAAAAAAAAAAAAGGTGGGAAAGAATTGACAGACTTAAAAGTCTGTGTTTAATAATAATTTTGTACTTCAGATTAATTCTCCTGATACATAGTAATTTTAGAGTGATCTTTTGGAAATAGGAATAACTTTCTGATTAAGTTTAAGTAAAGTATCTTCCATCAAGAAGAAAATTTGAATTCAAGGTTTCTAACCTAGTAAAGACTTGTTTTAGAATATTCTTTAGCGTATAACTGATCCAGATAAATTTATATATGCCTATATTCCCATAGTTTTCATTCCTGTCGGCTGATATCATAATCTAATAAAACACATGATTGAAAAATGGCACCTTTTCCAAATTAAGAAAGAAGTAACATATGATTTGAGGCTGTTAAATGTTACCCAGGGGAATGGGTCCTCTCATTTTCAAAACTTGACGATTAATTAGGCAGACAGAAGGTGGTGGGGAGGGCGTATCCTGCATCTACCACCGGCTTTGCAGGGGGCAGCACACAACCCTGCCACGGGGTGGAGGGCAGGGGTTGAGGAGCAATGAGGTTTCTTGTTTAAACTGCAAAAACTTGTAGGTCTGCCAGGTCACTTGACAGCCTGATGAAGCAGGCAAGGACACCAAGAACAGCTTGAGTTTATTCTTTAGCCTACGCTGTAGGATGTGTATATTAATGCCTTTTTGGACAATCTGTTTGTGTTTTAATAGCTCGGCTTTCACAGCTGACAGGCACAGGAAAAGAAAACTTTTGGAAAACTCATCACTAAACAGCAAGTTATTAAAAGTAAATGTAAGTAATTATATTCAAGGATAAGAATTAGTTTAGGTCAAATGACTATTTTGTTAGAACTCTTCTTCGCATTTACTGTTACCTGTTGTGTGAACCATTAAATTTGTCTGTGCCTTGACTTGGCGTGTTAGAACTGTTAGCTGCTGGGCTGGGAAGGTAGCTCAGTGGTAGAGCACTTGCCTTGCATGCCTGAGGCCCTGGGTTCGATTCCTCAGCACCACATAAGCAAAAAGAAAAAAGCCAGAAGTGGCGCTGTGGCTCAAGTGGTAGAGCGCTAGCCTTGAGCTGAAGAGCTGAGGGACAGCACCCAGGCCCAGAGCTCAGGCCCCACGACCAGACCAAAAAAAAAAAAAAAAAAAAAACTGTTAGCTGCTGTAAGTCCTGTCAGCATTGCTACTATGCCCCTTCTGGTACCTTAGAAAGCAGGTCACACTCAGTACCTACCATACATCTCAGCACTTGTCTTGGGGATCCTGGCTTCCTTCTGTGAAAGATCCCTAGTGTTAAATTCTAGGCTTTGAATTTGTGATGTTTTCTTTCTTGGACCTTCATTGATAAAACTTCGCATAAAAGAAAACATATTCTCATTCGGGAAACCATAATAGATGGCAGGATAGTAAAATATTTTGAAATGGACCTATCTTTTTGCCCTGCATTTGCTCCTTGTTGCCATGCCGTATTTGGACATGTACTCAGTGAGAGTCTTATTTTTGTGGAAGTAGGCTGAGTGCTGGTGGCTTGTGCCTGTAATCATAGCTACTTAGGAGAATGAGAGCTGAGGATTATGGTTCAAAGCCAGCCTGGGCAGGAAAGTCTCTTTATCTTGAATTAACCACCAAAAAAAAAAAACCCCAACAACAACCAGGAAATGGAGCTGTGGCTCCAGTGGAAGAACTCTAGCCTTGAGCAAAAGCAACTTAGGGATGGCACCCAGGTCCTGAGCTCAAACCCCAGGACTGGTACACGCAAATAAATTGTGTGGAACAAACACCTAAAGAGCTCTTGTGGCCACCTGAGCAATGGGCAGAGCTGCTTTGGATTGTATTGGTAGCTTGTTCCTTGTGTAGTGTTCAGACATCATGATATCCATGGTCCATTCATAGAACTAAGCAGACTAACTGAGACCTCAGTCTTTAGAAGTCCGGGTACTTTTTTTTTTTTTACAGTTTATATCCCACTACTAAGAAAACAGACATTTATTTTTCTGTTTTTCCCCCTTTGTGTTATATAATTCATGGTTTTGTGATATTTGCCAAGGCTGTTTCCTCATAATCTTCCAATATGATACTCCCATTTAGCTCAAAAATGCCTTGTAAAAACAGCCATGTGCTCATACAGAGACTAGAGAGCGTGTTGGAAATATTCACTGGACAGATTGGCTTGGTGCTGGAGTTTCAAGAGGCCTTTGCTTTCACTTTGATGTTTGAAACAGCCTTCCCTTGCATTGCTGGTGCCTCATTCTATTTTACAGGGAAGTACCACTGCCATTTGTGCGACTGGCCTTCGGAATTTGGGCAACACGTGTTTCATGAATGCCATTCTTCAGTCACTCAGGTAACATACAGCAGAGCTTATGTACTGACATTACAGGTTAAGAGCAAAGGCTTTGGATTCAGATCTTGTCTCTGCCACAAATGCTAGTTTTATTTCTTGGAGAAATTTACCTTAATGCCGTGTGCCTTCCTTTCCTCATGAGTAAAATTGGTTCCTACCTCTTGGGTAGTTGAGAAGATTAAACAATATAATTTGTCTAAAGTGCTTTGAGCAATATTGAATGATAACAACTGTTATTTTTATTTCCTATGGCTTCTTGAATAGACTAGAGAAGGAATCAGACTTTTTTCTTTAAAAGAGAGACACTGAGATCTGAGGATTGCAGTTTGAAACCAGCCTGGGTAGGAAAGTCCATGAGATTGTTGTCTCCAATTAACTACCAGCAAACCAGAAGTGGAGATGTGGCTCAAACTGGTAGAGTGCCTAGCAAGTGTGAGCACCTGACTTCAAACCCCAGTACTGACAAAAAAGGAAAAGCTCCCTGGCTGTGGGCCTCTAGATTTCAGGGAACCTAGTTCAGAGAGCTTAAGTCTTCAGCATAAGGTCACATGCTTTTAGAAGAACCTGAAAGATGTAAAATAAGTAGTAATGAAATAGTCAATAGGACTGACTTCTGCAGAAGAAGTGATCTTGGCAGTTTTGTACTTTTAAAAGGCATTAAAAGCTAGAGTTAATTAACCTGACCACATCACATTGCAAATAAGCAACAGAGCTGAACTTCATGTCTTCGATTACCTATGCTTGCTCAAAGTGGTAAGGATTCTAGTTACTCCTTAGTCTTCCTCATGATTTTGGATAGTGTATGGAAGTAATATGTTTGGGTTTACAGGTGGTTTTTGTTTGAGGAAATGATTTTTATCGAGTACCTAGAAACAGGCACCCTGAAAAGAGAAGCTGGTGACAGCCTCTAGGAATGTTGAAGCATTTTGAAGGGTAGTTCTTTGTTCATTCCTACAAACTATATCTTAGAGTGAATGAGCCAAAATAAAGAAACTCAGTGAAAGAGGTTATAAGACAGAGATCACACTTTAAAATGCATATGGAGATTTCATAGGATTTCTATACCATCCTTTTAAATTCTCCTCTTTAAAAAAATGTATTTCCTTCTTTTAAAATAGCAACATTGAGCAGTTTTGCTGTTACTTCAAAGAACTGCCTGCTGTCGAGTTAAGGAATGGAAAGACAGCAGGAAGGCGGACATACCACACCAGGAGCCAAGGGGACAACAATGTGTGAGTTACCAGAACGTGTCCTTTCTGCTTAACGGGCTTGGGATTTTTCTTGCTTGAATTAATAGGCACATTTTTAAAAAGCTCTTCTAAATGTGTGCAAGTTAGATGGCAATTATAATCTTAATTGTTGGAATTCTATTTACTATAACAGAAAGAATAAGTTTAACGTTCTACTTGAGTCTGAAGATTCGAACATTCTAGAATTGACATGTACATAGTAGAATTCTAAGTGTATGTTTAAACATACACTTAGTTCATCTGAATTGGTTTGTTTGATAGTGTTAGGCAAACCTGTCTTGGCTAATTAGTGCTTTATTATCTGTATGTATTTAATGGTTTTCCTCTTTGTTCATCCCTCTCTGTGCAGCCAACTCCCACTCATTCTGTGTTGTATGTGTTTGTGTGTGTGGCAGCACTGGGGTTTGACAAGGGACTCATGTTCGCTAGGTAGGTTCTCTACTACTGAGCCATGCCCCAGCCCTTTTATGGGTTATTTTTGTGGCCTTGTGTAACTTTCCACCTGGAAGTGTCTGGACCAAGATCCTCATGTTTATCGCTTCCCATCGTAGCTGGGATGGCAGGTACATGCTATCACACACAGCTTCTTTTCTTTGAGGTGGAGTCTCATGGACTCAAACCTTTCTGTTTGGGCTGTCCTAGAACCATCATAGTCTTCTGCTTCCCTTCTAGGATGGAAGGCATATGCCATCCAGTTACTGGTTCAGAATAGGTCTTTCAGACTTCTTTTCCCAGGCTGGTCTCAAACCATGATCGTTTTGATCCCAGCCTTCTGTGTAGCTAGGTTTACAGGCATGGACCACCACTGCCCCAGCCTGAGGACCACTTTATATAATCAGACACTGCCCTGTGTTGGTGGCTGAGGAAGAGGAGCATAGAACATGTTAGAATGGTGATCATCCTGGATGGAGCCTCCCTATGGGGATCCTTTCAAGCCAGGCAGAGGTGGGGTTGGGATGACCTGACCTAGGTTCAGTGGAGGGCCTTTCCTTCTACAGCAGCATCCTATGGGATGAGCTGGAGAGGAGGTGTTGGCTGAGGGGTAGATAGCAGTTAGGAAGGAGGGGTGGCAGGGTTATTGGTGCTTGACTCATCAGTCACTTAGGGATTAGTTACGAGTGCAGCAGAATTTCCCTCAGACAGATACAGGCAGAAAAGGAATTCATAGAAGGGCTAGTGGATGGAAATCGGGTCTGGAGCCTGTTCCCCAGCTGCATTCACCCGTAGAACTGTCCTGTGAGGACGAAAGGATGCTGCTGCCCCAGGGCACAGCACGGTACTGCAGTGCTGCTTTTGCTGCTGCCGCTGTCTGTCTATGGATGCTCTTTGCCTTGCTTCTGTGTCACCATTGTTTCAAGTGGACAGAACCAGGCTCCATGTCTGTGCTCTGACTGCGAGGGGGCCTGACAAAACAGTTCTGCCTCCCACCGGGGACTCTTAAGGGAGGGACCTCTCCAAATGTAGGAAGAGAGGTCAGGGGCCGGGAGGCCATGTGACCTGTATCGCAGGCACCTACTGGATTACAAGGCTTGAGAGAGAATATAGCGATGCTCGGAGATATACCTGTCGAGTGAGTGTCCAAGAGCGTGGGACTTAGATGGACAGATACGGAAATTGAACTTGAAGCATATCAGTTTAACTACATGAGCAGAAAGTCACAATTTGCAGTGGCTTACTCCTATTTTTTTTTTTTCCCTCACGTAAAAGTAAGAGGTTATGATTGCAGCCTAGTCTCAAAAAGTTCAGGCTCCTTCTAGCTTTATGTTGCAGTAGCGCGAGGTGAGGTTCTCCCCGACATAGTCCCAGATAGTGATGGAGCTCCACGTTAGAGCCTCATTCCAGAAACTAGAAAGGAGGATCAACGGGCTTAAGCATTTGGCTTAAAAATTAGCCAGTGCTTTGTTGTTTCCGTGTGCTTATTTTAAATTCAGTATACAAATATGAAAGTACTTTGCATACTTGCAGTTAACCATATAAAAAATGAGTTTTGCCAGTTTAAAAAAAAAACAACCCTTAGTTTTGCCAATAAATTACTGCTGTTTATATGAGCTTTTCTGGGGAGGTAGGGAGGGATTTGGGGAGGGGCAGAGGGTATAGGTTCTGGGACTTGAACTCAGGGCCTCAAGCTCTTGCTCAGATTTACTCTACCACCTGAGTAATATCTGCACTTCTGGCTTTTTTTTTCTGGTTCATTGGAGGTAAGAGTCTGAAGGATTTGTCTGCCTGGGCTGATTCAGGTGTGACCCACCAGTGCCCAGCTATATGGGCTTTTGAGATGATCTTAGTGGTCAAACTTAGTTCAGAAAAGGCTTATGTTTTAATTTTTTATTACATATTTTAGACAATGTAAGATTATGTTAAGGGTATAATTCTTTATTCTTTCCTAGGTCTTTGGTAGAAGAGTTTAGAAAGACACTCTGTGCTTTGTGGCAAGGTAACCAGACTGCATTTAGTCCAGAGTCCTTGTTCTATGTTGTTTGGAAGATCATGCCGAATTTCAGGTGAGTGTTGAAAATATTGAGTCTCTATACCACTTCTACAATTCTTGATAAAGTGGTGGTGTTCCAAGTATGCTGATTAAACAAATAACGTTTATTTAAGTAAAGTCCTTCTACATAGCTTATGTATGCCAGGAAAACATATTGGATATTTTCCCTTGATTTGCTTGAAAGTCTTTCAAAGAATAATTGCTGTCATACATTCCTAAACTAAAGAATCCAGATGAAATCAGTAGAAACCCAGGGTGTTATGCTCACTGTTCTGAGGAGCTGAGTTACACTTAGAAAGTAGCTGTGCCCTGTCCTCGTGTGGCGGGCAAGTGACTGTTACCTGTGTTTGCTCTCTGCAAGTGCTGTCAGGAGTTCTACCTTACCAAGCGTGGATTCAGCTCAGAGCAGACAGTGCATGGTGGCAGATTTGAGTCCTGTGAATTGAGTAACAATTCTTAACTGCTTATATATAATCCTTTGGTTAAACATAGCACACTGTAGTAAAACCTGGCAATTATTCCTGAAAAGATTGTTGCTAGTAAAAGGAAATGTTTAAAAAGTAACAGCTTTAAAAGTAACAGCTTCAGGAAGTGGTGCTGTGGCTCAAGTGGTAGGGCTTGAGCTGAAGAGCTGAGGGACAGTGCCCAGGCCCAGAGTTCAAGCCCCATGACCGACCAAACAACAACGACAACACACAGCTTCCAAGGACCAAATTTGTTGCTTTGCTGAAAAATATAGCCTTGAGAATCTGACAGTGACCGACTTCATTCTGGTCTTCAGAGGATTATTTAAAAGCTTGGTTTGTTTTGAGGTAGGGAGCTAGCTTCTACTAGGGTTTGAAATCAAGGCTTTGCACTTGCAAGGCAGGCAGTCCACCACTGGAGCTATGCTCTTGTCCTTTTTTGCTTTAGTTGTTTTTTTCTGAGTAACATTTATGCTTGTGCCTACCTGATCGCAGTTTCCCTAGTAGCAAAGATAACAGGTGAGAACCACTGTGCCAATGTCCTAGTCTTTGCTCTGAAGAAACCTTTTATGTGTCATACCTTGTATCTCCTTTTGGGATAGACTTAAAAGAATTTTAGAATTTCTTGACTCTAAGGAAAAGTGGAATGATAGTTCAGATATTAAAATCAGGTTTGGATGTCAATATATATATGCATATATATATATATATAAATATATATATAAAATATTTGTCAGTTATGCAGCTTAAACTTACACCCTAGGCCCTGTCCTTGAGGTTTTTTTGCCCTATCAATTTGAGCCACAGCGCCACTTCAGTTTTTGAGTGGTAAAGTGGAGATAAGAGTCTTACTTGCCTTTCCTGCCTTGACTGGCTTTGAACTTTGGTCCTCAGTTCTCAGCCCCCTGAGTAGCTAGGATTACAGGTATGAGCCACTGGTACCTGGCTTTATACAAGATTTCTAACATATAATTATTATTGGCAGGAATTAGGGTTCTCTAGTAGGATAGTTTTTGTGTACTGAATGTCTACTGTGAGGCAGGCACTGAGTATTTTAAATCTGGTGTTAAGTAAAAAACCAGCAACAATAAAATACCAGCCATGCAAGAAATGTTGTCCCCATTAGAGGAGTCAAAGGTGAGAGAACAATTTGTTCACCGTTCCATGCCTAAACCACATGTTTGTAGTTAGTTCGTAATAGCCATGTTGGCAGTAATTGATTCCCCGGCCTTGAGCTGAGGCCTGCTACATCACTCTGTTCTCCTTGGCCCAAGGGTGGCCAAGGTCCTGCACTCCTGAATGTTTGGAAACATTATTATGCCTTCTCCCTTAACTCTAAATCTTCCGCATCCTGCCCTTTCTAGTTTCTGTAGCCCAGCTGTGAGCAGCGTAGTTTTTAGATGCTTAAGTTACATCTTTTACTGTTCTTACCAATGAAAGGGGGGAAAAAAAACATTTAGAAAAGAAAACCAGGTTGAGGAATTTACATGGCACCTCTGGGGAGCGTTCAGATATACACCAGCTCTTAAATTTCCATAGTCACTGCTGAGAAGGTGCTTTTATATTCTTATCTGGGCTTTCTTCTAATTGTGTAATAATTGAGATTCTTCCCCATTTTCATGTAATCAAAGGTGTTTTTTTTTTCTTTGTTAAAGATCCAGATCTTGAGATTAAATCACAGGCACAGTTTTAGTGCAGTCACTGCTCAGCACCCAGGTGTGAAGCTGGGAGGTGGGGCTTAACGATTAGGTATGCAGGTAAGATTCTTAGAACATGCCCATGTAGAGGCACAATGAGTCTGGAGTTGTATTTCTATTTATCAGCCCAAGTCAATTGTTTTTCTTTACATTTGAAGAGCCCATTTTCCTTGATTAATGTCCAACAGAGTCTGGGGAACTTGATCCCCTGGCATGAAAATGAGGACTCTGAGTAGATGGAGGTGTTCCTGCTTCTGTATACATGCTGTACTTCCATGATTGTGGGACAAGGGTACCCTTAATTATAGTATAGTAAATAGCTTTGTGTACAGAAGTGAAAGCTACTTTTCCCCCCACTCTAATCTAAGCCAGTTACAAAATTTTCCAACAGACACGGTGCACTTAACAACTTATGGCTCATCCTACACCTTTGTCTTCCCTTTGTCTTCTTAATTGGCTAATTAATTGTTTTGAACTCAAAGCTCAAGCCTTACACTTACTTGCTGGATGAGTGCTCTACCACTTGATTCACACTCTCCCAGCTCTTTGTGTTGGTTATTTTTGAGGTAGGCTCTCATTTTATGCCCAGGCCAGCTTGAACTTTCCCAGCCACTGGGATGACAAAGTCATGTGCCACTATGCCTCGCTATTGGTTGACATGGGGTCTTGTGAATTTTTTTTTTTTTTTTTTTTGGGCCTGGGCTGTCTGCAAATTGTGATCCCCTAATCTCTGCCTCTAACATAGCTAGTCTTAGGCCACCTTGCCTGTCTTAAAGTTTATTTATTTTTGTCGGTACTGGGGCTTGAACTCAGGGCCTGGACACAGTCCCTGAGCTTATGTGCAACTTTCTTTTTGGGTAAAGTTTAGTTTTTATATTATTATTATTATTATTACTACTACTACTACTACTATTATTAGCCAGTCCTAGGGCTTGAACTCAGAGCCTGCACACTGTCCCTGAGCTGCTTTTGCTTAAGGCTGGTACTCTACCACTTGAGCCACAGCACTACTTCTAGCTTTTTCTGTTTATATGGTGTTGAGGAATCAAATCCAGGGCCTCATACATGCTAGGCAAGCACTCTACCACTAAGTCACATTCCCAGCCCAAGTTTATTTTTTAAATAGGCAAAATACATATTGTTTGAACTTCATAAGATTCTTTAAAAAATACACATAAAATGCATTTTTTATTTTACCATTATTTCTATTTTCTAGATGCAATTGTAGTTACTAGTTTTCAGTACTTATTCTTTTTTCAGTGATAGTTTGTGTATATATAAGAGCCCCTTACCAATGGTTATATGGCTTGTTTCTAATCTTTATTTCAGGCAGTCTGCTGTGAACGGTCTTAATATAAATGTAGGGATCTGGGCTGGGAAGTTGGCTCAGTGGTAGAGCACTTGCCTTGCATGCATAAGGCCTTGGGTTCGATTCCTCAGCACCACATAAGCAGAAAAAAAAAAAGCTGGAAGTGGCGCTGTAGCTCAAGTGGTAGAGTGCCTGCCTTGAGCTGAAGAGCAGAGGGACAGCGCCCAGGCCCAGAGTTCAGGCCCCACGACTGGACCAAAAAAAAAAATGTAGGGATCTAAAAGAAAGGTCTGGGTCAGAGTATATGGGCTTTTTGTAGCTTCAAAACAATTTTTTTTTTTTTTTTCTTTTGTGGGTTGTGGGGCTTGAACTCTGGGCCTGGGCGCTGTCCCTCTGCTCTTCAGCTCAAGGCGGGCACTCTACCACTTGAGCCACAGCACCACTTCTGGCTTTTTCTGTTTATGTGGTGCTGAGGAATTGAACCTAGGGCTTCATGCATGCAAGACAAGCCCTCTACCACTGAGCCACCTTCCCAGCCCTTCAAAACTCTTATTAGCCTTCATTCTCCCTCACTTTCTTGAGCATGGTATTACCCTGTCACATGGCATCTTTGCATGTTTTATGTGTCTGCCTGCTAATATGTGTCTTGCCATCCCTCTCTCTCTTTAGGGGGGAGAAGAGCTTGTTGTTTGGGATTGCACTCGGCCGTGTGCTTTGCAGGGCAAACACCCCACCATACTTTGGCCACACACCTGTCTCCCCATCTCTATCTTTAGGATCCACCTGATGCTAAGATTCCAGAAAAACTTCTTAATGTATCACCTATATGCAATTTATAATTTCATGAGTAACTTGATTTATTTACCTTGACCTCCCTCAACAGAGCTTTTAATTATCAGTTGTTTTTTTGTTGGTCATGGGGCTTGAACTCAGTGACTGGGCACTGTCCCTGAGATCTATCACTCAAGGCTAGCTCTCTACCACTTTGAACCACAGCTCCACTTCGGTTTTCTGGGGATTAATTGGAGATAAGAATCTCACAGACTTTTTTTGCCTAGGTTGGCTTTGAACCATGATCCTCAGATCTCAGCTTCCTGAGTAGCTAGGATTACAGGCATGAGCCATCAGCACCCAGCTATAATCAGTTCTTGTTATAATGTTTAAACATTTTTAGAAGAATAAATACTGAAACCTTATTCTTATTTACTAGCTATCCTTAAGACAATAAACACTATATAGTCTTTGTAAGGACTTGTTCCTTGCATGTAATACTTTCTTTTCCTTCTTTTCTTGCTGTGGTTTTTGTTTTTGTTTTCCATCATGGGGCTTGAACTCTGGGCCAGGGCACAGTCCCTGAACTCTTCAGCTCAAGGTGAGCACTCTACCACTTGAGCCACAGTGCTGCTTCTGGTTTTCTAGTGGTTAATTGGAATTAAGTGTCTCATGGACTTTCCTTTCCAGACTGACTTTGAACCATGATTCTCAGATCCTGAGTAGCTAGGATTATAGGTGTGAGCCATCGCCAGCTTACATATTTACTCTTTATCAAATAGCTGGTTCTATGTAAATTAAAGAAAATATGCCTGTAATGTTTTATAGAATATTAGGAAAAAATGTAGTATTTTGATAAAAGCTAACATACATATTAGGCAGATTATTTTTTTTTAAGGGATGGGTAAGGGTTCACCCGATGAAAATGTAAACCACAATGTACTGGCTTTCATATAGTATATTTTAAGAAATGTGATAACATATAGTAATACATATTTGAGAATGAATTTTTTTTTTTTTTTTCTGGTCGCGGGGCCTAAACTCTGGGCCTGGGCGCTGTCTCTTAGCTCTTCAGCTCAAGGCTAGCGCTCTACCACTTGAGCCACAGCACCACTTCTGGCTTTTTTCTTTTTCCTTATGTGGTGCTGAGGAATCGAACCCAGGGCCTCATGCATGCAAGGCAAGCGCTCTACCACTGAGCCCCCTTCCCAGCCCGAGAATGAAATTTTTTGTATGTGATAGAATTTCAGATAATACTGATCTTAACCATGGAATTATAAAAACAAGTGAGTATTTCATAGAATATGTTTAATGTATAAAGTTCCCCCTTAAATACGTAAGTGAACTAACGTGGGATGTTTCCATTATGAAGCAAGGGGATCTATGATTGGCAGAGAGTGTGTTTACAGAGGGTGATGGACTCAGAGACCTTTCCATCCATGCTGGCAAGATGTTGGCAGGAGTCTGTCCTGTTAGAGCCTTTTAAGAGAATTCCTTAATTTTTACTTGATGTATTTTATTAGCCACTGGTCTGTATTAGCTTAACAATTCCATGAAGTTTCGTATCTTAATATGGCGTAAGAAGTAATATAAGAACATGTTGAACAGTACATTTGTAACATGTTTAAAAGGGGCCTCTTGGAACAGTGACTAAGGTGTAAGTACAGAAACATTAGTTATCTTTTACCTTAAAAAATTCTTCCTAGGGGGGCTGGGAAGGTGGCTCAGTGGTAGAGCGCTTGCCTTGTATGCATGAGGCCCTACGTTCAATTCCTCAGCACCACATACGCAGAAAGAGCCAGAAGTGGTGCTGTGGCTCAAGTGGTAGAGCGCTAGCCTTGAGCTGAAGAGCTGAGGGACAGCGCCCAGGCCCAGAGTTCAGGCCCCACAACCGGACCCCCCCCCCCCCAAAAAAAAAAATAATTCTTCCTAGGCTGGGAAGGTGGCTCAGAGGCAGAGTGCTTGCCTTGCATGCATGAGGCCCTATGTTCAATTCCTCAGCACCACATAAGCAGAAAGAGCCAGAAGTGGCGCTGTGGCTCAAGTGGTAGAACGCTAGCCTTGAGCTGAAGAGCTGAGGGACAGTGCCCAGGCCCAGAGTTCAGACCCCACAACCAACCAAAAAAAAAAAAATCTTCCTTTCTGCTATTCAAAAATGCGTATTTTTAATCTAAGGAGTTTAAAATTATAGTGCAGGTATGTATACACCTAGCTTTTTGAGTGAGGGCAAGTTGTGACATTTTAACATTTGAGTCTTTTCTAGAGAGGCCTAGAGGGAAGTGGGAAACTGAAGGTCCATTCAAGGAATGTGACTTCTAGTCTCATCTGCTACTCTCTAGCTGTGGAGACGGGAGAAATCACAGTCGGGGTGTTCATTGTGACATTTCCACACATGTATACAATGTATTCCCATCAAACCCCCTTCTGTCCACACTCCTTCACCCCTGAAGTGGAGAAGCCATTGTAGGACATCATTACAAATCCAATTAGCTCTAAAATGCAAAATTATTTTTTCAAGAATTCTTTATTGAAATGCCGTATAATGTGTGATATTAGTGGGGTGAGATGTCCTCATGGGCATAGGCCGCCTTTTCTGGAATGTTTGGCTGGAGAGGCAGAGCCTCTGGGTCATCACATGCTTCTATTTGCTTCTAGGGGCTATCAGCAGCAAGACGCCCATGAGTTCATGCGCTACCTTTTGGACCATCTCCACCTGGAACTCCAGGGTGGCTTCAATGGTGTTTCTCGCTCAGCAATTCTACAGGAGAATTCTACTCTGTCTGCAAGTAACAAGTGCTGCATGTAAGGTTTCCTTTTGTCCTTTTTTTGTAGAGTGCTTTGGGTATCCTGTGAATGTTTCTGTGTGTTAGGTTAATTCTAGCAGTGAAGAGGTTTGTGGGGGTTACCTGGACATTTGCTGGAACTTCTTTTTTTTTTTTTTTGGGTCCGGTACTGGGGCCTGAACTCTGGGCCTGGGCGCTGTCTCTCAGCTCTTCAGCTCAAGGCTAGCGCTCTACCACTTGAGCCACAGCGCCACTTCCGGCTTTTTTCTTTTTTCTTATGTGGTGCTGAGGAATCGAACCCAGGGCCTCGAGCATGCAAGGCAAGCGCTCTACCACTGAGCCACCTTCCCAGCCCATTTGCTGGAACTTCTGTGCACTTGAAAAAGTTAAAGTGGTCTAGCATCTAGATCACAAGTACAGCGTAGTTGCGTCTTAATGTGGTCATCTTAAAACTTGAAAAAACAGTAGGCATGTGTTAGCATTTTCCTCAAAGTACATTGAATGGTGTAGTTAATTTCTATATACAAAATAAGTCTATACGTTCACTAAAAATGAGCGTTTTTTTTTTTGTGTGTGTGTGTGAATTGTGGGGCTTGAACTCAGCCTGGTGTCTGTCCCTCAGCTCTTCAGCACAAGGCTAGCGCTCTACCACTTGAGCCACAGCGTCACTTCTGGTTTTCTGGTGGTTTTATTGGAGATAAGAGTTTCATGGACTTTCGTGTCCTATGTGGCTTTGAACCTTGATCCTCAGATCTCAGCCTCCTGAGTAGCTAGGATTACAGGTGTGAGCCACTGGCACCTGGCTGCTTAAAATATTTTGAATGAGTTTTCCAAAAGACTATAATGAAACTGAAAATTTATTGAATTTAAGTTCTCAGCATTTTTTTTCTCAGTAACAACCAAACAATCTTTTTGGGTTACTTTTCTGTGTAATAAATAGTACAAAACGTACTTTTAGAGCAGAATCTTCATTTTTCTGGGGAAGGAATGATTTATTGATCTATATAGGAAGGGGATTTATAAGAAAAGATACTCCCCAAAGGAAAGAGTAATTTACATACATGTATGTCTGTCCCTCCAGTAGACTCCAGTATAAAAAGGGAAGGCCTTGACTTGGTAAAATTCTTCCGGCTAGCACCATATAAAATACATAATTTTAAAGTTCTGTATTTTGTCATAGCATATGCTTATTCTTACAGTCGGAGTGAGCCAGGAGTTTTCTTAATTATTTTCTCTAATTTCTTGGGCACCCTATGGAATCAACATTGTATATAATGTTTGCATGATATTCTTTAAGCACCCGTAAATGCTCGTTAATGTAAAGAACTTCAAGTTCCATTTTTGAGTTAGGAATAGAAAGAAGAAATTATCTTGAAATATTAAAAACTGAGGTTTCCTTTTATTTGCTTCAGTGCATTGGAGTAAGCATTTAAAAACCTGAGCGTGTTTGCTAAGTAAAACTAGAAGAGGTCCTATGCAGTCTGTGCTTACTTATGTTAGCATACCCAGACCTACCAAAGGTCGGGGAGATGACAAAAATAAATACCACAAGTATTGCTTTTAATATGTAGCTAATGTCTAGCACTGGCTGGGTGTGGTAGTTCACTTCATGTGGGAAACTGAGGCAGGACCAATCTAGACTACATGGTAAGACCCTGTCTCATAAACAAAACAATCACTAGTACTAATGTAAAGGATCCTAGTAGTATAAGAACTAGGTAATCAGTATTCACACACTGTTTGTATGTGCACAGGGAAGGAACAGCAAGCAGTTTTGAACTATTTATGAATCTTGTTTTGTGTTACAGTGCACTTAGATGGTTACACTGCTTTGCATTGTCCTGTTTACATGAAAGGGTTGGTTGAAGTCCTTTGTTTACAGATGATTTTTCCCCATGTGTTCTTTTTTTTTTTTTTTTTAATTTAACTTTTTTTTTAACATTTTACCCTGTGTGTTCTTATGGCTCAGTTATAAACCTAAAACCCAAAGTGTCCACTGTGTGTTATGGTTCCCCTCTGTTTTATAATTTTCTAGTCTGTCTGATAATAGCCTAGTCAGTATGTCTTTCAAATGAGTTTTAAAACAATAAACTTAGTCCATTTCTTTGGTCAGTAAAGGAAGGAAGCCCTTCCATAGAAAAGAAATCAAACTTTTCTAGTTGAAGAATTGCTTGGGTAGGTTTAATTTGGAGTGGGTTAGAAAGTACAGTTCAGTTCAAGAATAACTTATTGCAAATGATAGAAAAGAACAGTTTCTATTAGTCCAAAGACTACCGTACAAGTTGATTGTATAGGTTTTTTTTTTTTTTTTTTTTTTCTGGTTGTGGGGCTTGAGATTGTAGTACCGTTAACCCCAGCAAGTGACTGAGGCCACCTCAGATTCATTACCGTTATCTTGGTTCAGGTAAGAGCACATTACATTATGAGAAGATGCTCAGGCAAGACCATCTGTGGGACCCTGAGCCAAGTTACTTATCCTCTGTGTCTTGGTTTCTGGGTCTGAAAAATGAGGATAGCAGTATCTGCCCTCTAGAGCTGTTGTGAGGATGACTGACCCAGTAAAGGAGCAGTGCTTAGAGTGGAGGCTGCAGGCAGAAAGTACCTTTCTGCGCCTGCTGCTCTTGCTTGGTCCAGAGTCTGTGGTGTGCGCACACGGTGGCAGGCATGCCATCCTTGGAAACAGTGAGGTATGTGACCTACTGTACAGACTCGGAGAATACAAAGCAAGAGGCAGATGTGGTCTGACCTGATGCTAATACTGCCAGTGCTTTCTTCTTGCACACTGCTCCTAGAACTCATCCCACTTTCATGCCAGGCTCTCAGGTCAGTACTCTTCCTGTTTACACTGGCTGGAACTGAGGCTTGGAGAGGTTCTGTCACATTAGGACAGTTAGTTCTTAAGGTGGCATATTTTTATCTCCACAAGAAACTGGTTTACAGTGGGAGGAGCTTTTTAAAAAGAAATATTCAGGCCCAGGACCTTCAATTGTGAAGTTATATCTCCAGCAATAATGACTAAATCTGTACTAATTTTTGTTTACATCCTCAGATTAAGAATGTTGTTCAGAGTCAAGTGCATGTGATGAGAGGTCATGCAGCAAACATCTAGTACATCCTAAAGTGGGGGTGAGGGTGAGCATCGAAGGAGAGGCCAGGGTTAATTACTTCTGGAGAAAGTGCAACAGGGGAAGGCTAGTGGTTAAATCATTTATTTAATATATGCCTAGAGAGCCTTGAAGTTCTAATCTTGTCATTTAAAATATAAATGGTATACACAGGAAGTTTCCTATAGGAGCCTTTGCAAAAATTTAAGTTTTTCACTGAGATGTTTCCTCTAGAAACGGAGCATCGACCGTTGTCACAGCTATCTTCGGAGGCATCCTTCAGAATGAGGTCAACTGCCTCATTTGCGGGACAGAGTCCAGGAAGTTCGATCCATTCCTAGGTAAGATATACGGGCCTGTTTATGTCGTTACACTTGAGAAAACAGAGTAGTGATTACTTTCTGCGTGTGGTCACAGGCCCTTAACAGATATTTTCCTCTGTCCTTTTAAGATCTTTCATTAGATATTCCAAGCCAGTTCCGAAGTAAGCGTTCTAAGAATCAAGAAAATGGACCGGTTTGTTCATTACGAGGTAAAGATATTTTAATGTTCTAGAAATTTCTTTAAAAACGGAATAGTATTGAGTTCTATTTGTGTTCTGTGCCACCTCTTGTCTTCAATGTATCTCTGTTGCAATTTTACTGCTCCCTAAAATTCTGTTGTGTCTGTTTACCACATGATGGTATTAGAGGATGCATAAACTATCTTTGTTTTCTTACTATTGGCTTTAAGATTGCCAGTATATAAAAGAGAAAGTTTCTCACCAAGCCTGGGTGCCAGTGGTGCAAGATCAGCCCAGGCAGAGACCTGGCCTGAAACCCCCATCTCAACCAGTAGCTGAGCACATGGGGTCAGGGGTATAAATAGGATGGGTCTAAGGCCTGTGCAAAAGGACTAGAGGCGTGGCTCAAGTGTTAAGTATGAACCCTGAGTTTAAACCTTAGTGCTTTCAAAAAGTTTTCTGACCAGATGAAACAAAATTTGGTCTGAAAGATACTAGTACCTCTAGAAAGAAAACTCAGCAATATGTGTGTGTGTGTGTGTGTGTGTGTGTGTGTTTGTGTGTGTGTGTGTGTGTGTGTGTGTGTGTGTGTGTGTGTGTGGTGGGGCTTGAACTCTGGGCCTGGGCGCTGGTCCCTCAGCTCTTCAGCTCAAGGCTAGCGCTCTACCACTTGAGCCACAGTGCCACTTCGGCTTTTTTTCTTTTTGTTTATTACGTGGTGCTGAGGAATCAAACCCAGGGCCTCATGCATGCAAGGCAAGCGCTCTACCACTGAGCCACCTTCCCAGCCCCTCAGCAAATTTTTTTTTTTTTTTGGGGTCCAGTCGTGGGGCCTGAACTGTGGGCCTGGGCGCTGTCCTTCAGCTCTTCAGCTCAAGGCTAGCGCTCTACCACTTGAGCCACAGCGCCACGTCCAGCTTTTTTTCTTTTTGCTTATGTGGTGCTGAGGAGTTGAACCCAGGGCCTCATGTATGCAAGGCAAGCGCTCTACCACTTGTGCCACCTTCCCAGCCCCTCAGCAAATTTTTATAAATTACACTAGTTCTTCTTTTACAGGAATAATAGTTTGAGAAATCAGTTTATCTTATCTGTTATATCGAGTTTGAGGCCTGCTTTTTAATCACAAGACCATTAAAATTCACACTTACTTTGGGAGACCTTGAGCCAATTCTTTTCTTTAATGAGCATTAGCTACTTCAATCAAGGGGAAAGATCTAATTTAAAATTCATGGAGAGAGGACGCAGGATGGCACCTTGCATGTCTGCTGCTGAGAGAAATGCCTGGCAGGGAAGGAAGAACTGCGTCTTGTGGAGAGTGATTTGGGGAGACTGGGAACCAGCAATCCTGGAGAGCAGAGTGGGGTTGCAGCGCTTCTGCCTGGGGCTGGAGAATGCCAGCAACCAACCCCGCCCTGCTAGACACCACCTTCCCTCAGCAGCCAGCACCACTAGCACCCTCTCCCTGGGAACCTGAGATGGGTCCAGGCACAGCTCTAGAAACGCAGCTGCCAGTGCACACTCCAGCACTACCTGGCTCCCCCTGGGGGCCGCCTTGTGTAGAAAGCCCAAGCTTACCATTCCTCCCCCACAGGTCTGGGGGAGGCCCCATCTGTGTCCTGAAGCTCCAGAATAGTGGCCCACGCCTGCCTCACAGGAGGTAGGGAAGGTTGTCTTATAAGGTCACAGCCTTAGGACTGTAACTGCTGATACAAAATCCCCTGGCATTGCCCAAGCTTGTTGCTTAGAACTAGGGGAATGCCCCACAGCTCTGGGACTTGAGTGCCACCAGCACTTGCCTCACTATGACTGCCTCTACATCTTCAGATAAGCCACTCATGCTTGACTTTCAGAACTGTGGGCACCGGTGCCATAAGCCCAGATGTGACCTGTACATGCAGTGGGGGATCTGGAGAAGGGCTCTGTAGCCCACAGACTTGGGACTATGGCTACTGGTGTCTGATTTACTTGCTCCTGTTCTTTGAGACCTGGAGAAGGTACGATCGTTGTACCACAGCTCTACAAGACTGGCTCCGGTGCTGAAATTGCCCCACAAGACTTAGGTAGGGAAGGTCCCCTTTGAGTCCCATAACTTGGTCTGCCATTACCAGTGCCACAGCAAGCATCAACTGCGCACATCTTGTGGGACCTAGTGGAGGTCCCATCCCATCCTGTGGTTCAGGGACCAGAGCTGCTGGCTCACAGCCCTTGTGCCAGCCCTCTAGGAACTGGGCACACAGGCCGCAACATCCGACTGCAGCCTGAGGACATGCCCTCTGAATGCTTCCAGCTGTGGCACAGCCATGTGGCCACCTCCATGGACTGCTTCAGGTCGAGACTGGAGTCGAAGCACTGCGGACATTTGTTACCGAAAAATCACTCTACAACTGAACTCACCAAAGCCCGAGTGCTGATCCAAGCACCACGGTGGCCCCCTTCAAATCAAGAACCTCAGAGGGACCCCGAGTGATGAGGGACTCAGAGTGCTAGCTAGAAGAATCAGGGAAGTCCAAACCTCTCCTTGAGGACTGGGAGAATGTCCGGTTCCTGTGGTTTTGTGGGGTGCCAGCCCTCCCGCTAAAGCCTCCAGTCCTCTGTAGAAAAATTCTGCCTACTGGTTCTGCTGTGACCCTCAGACCGCCTCAGCTGCCACCTCTCCACTGCATCCTGCGTGCATTCCACACACAAAGCCAGAGGAAGAAAGGGGCTGGCTGTCACACAGCCACACAGGTCCAGACACACAGCCTGCTGCCACCAGCTGCTTTCCACGTGCTCTTCCTCCTGTGAGCTGCTCGGCTAAAAGAAATTCCACCTGGCTTCACTGCCCTGGTGGCAAGCACAATGCCAGCAAATAGGGAGAAAAGCCCAAGCCAGTGCCCCGTGTCAGGTTCTGCCCTGGGTAGACATGCCCACAGTAGCAGCAGAGATGAAATACCTTTCTGTCCACACCTACGGGGTCTTCTGCATCTGGTGGACGTGTCAACAAGTTCCCCCGGATCCTGTCCCCCGCGAAGCATCAGAGGTCAGGTGCTCCAGGTGCTCACCACTACTAGAGGAGCCAGGAACAGAGATCCATTCTAGTAGCAGTAGCCTGAGGTAGTCTCTATCATCTACAGGGGCCATTCCTCCGATTTCAATAACCAGACAGGATGGGCCTCAATTTGCTACCTACGGTACAGCTGCCTGAATTGCTGGACTGTCCCCATTCTTGTCCATCCTGCAAAGACAGAGCATTCAGATGTGCCTAAACTCACAAGTAACAGCCCAAGAAGGTTCGCTGTTGTGTATCTGGAAATGGTCTCCATTTTGCATAATAAATTGCTACTCCAAGACACAGCTTGAGGAGGGAGTTGCTAAGATGCCCATCACATAAAATGGTAGAGATAGCCAGTTTGGTCAATTGTGCAAATTTCAACAGAGGAATAAAAGAGACATGAAAAACCAAGGGAACATAGCACCTTACAAAATTGGTAATTCCCTAGTAAGAGATTCCTAAGATAGCAAAGGAGATGAAATGCTGAATCAGAGCCAAGAAACTACAGATATTTACATGAAATTAGGAAGAGAGTGTGGGATATAAATGAGAAATTCAGCAAAGACAGATTGTGAGAAAGAACCAGTCAAATCTAAGAACTGTCGTAAGTCAGGCTAAAAATACAGTTGAAGCCAGGCAAGGTGAATCACTTCTATAGTTCTAGGTACTTAGAGGCTGAGATTGGAGAATCGTGGTTTTCTGCCAGCCCAGGCATAAAAGTTTGCAAGATTCCAGCTGGACACTAGTGGCTCACGCCTGTAATCCTAGCTACTCAGGAGGCTGAGATCTGAGGATTGAGGTTCAAAGCCAGCCTGGGCAGGAAAGTCTGTGAGACTCTTTTTTTTTTGTTTTGTTTTGTTTTGTTTTTTGGTCCGGTCATGGGGCCTGAACTCTGGGCCTGGGCACTGTCCCTCAGCTCTTCAGCTCAAGGCTAGTGCTGTACCACTTGAGCCACAGTGCCACTTCCGGCTTTTTTTCTTTTTGCTTATGTGGTGCTGGGGAATTGAACCCAGGGCCTCAGGCATGCAAGGCAAGCGCTCTACCACTGAGCCACCTTCCCAGCCCCTGTGAGACTCTTATCTCCAATAAATCACTAGAAAACTGGAAGTGGCACTGTGGCTCAAGTGGTAGAGCGCTAGCCTTGAGCTGAAGAGCTGAGGGACAGTGCCCAGAGTTCAAGCCCCACGACCGACACAAAACAAACAAACAAAAAAAATTTGCAAGATTCCATCTCAGTGGCTAGACATGGTAGCACGTGCCTGTTCCCCAGTACTGGGAGGCAAAAAACACACACCTTTCATCCACAGCAACATAGGGAAGCACAAAAAGAATGATTACAACCAAGGCTAGTCTGGGCATAAAGTGAGAGATGCCACCTTAAATGGAACCAAGGCAAAAAGGAGCTAAAAGTGTGTAGCTGAAGGGTAGAGTGAAGCATTTAGCCCTGAGTTCATTCTCCAGCACTGCCAAAAAAGAAATATATTTAAAACAATGATACAGCTCAGTTTTAGGAAAGAACCACACCCCCAAATTAGAAGGAAAGAAATAATATAGATCAGAATAGAAACAAATCAAATAGTCTAAAGTCTTTAGACTTATCTTTTAGACTTTAGAAGAATACAGAGCATCTGTGAAATGAGTTTGTCAGTTTTATCTTTTCAAATGATCAACCTTTAGCTAGACTTATTGAGACAGAACCTAACTAGAAATGACAAAGAGACATTGCAGCAGATGCTACAGAAATTCAAAGGATTCTTAGGGAGTATTTCGGGGAAACTGTGCTAATAGACAAGAGAATCTAGATGAAAGTGAAATATACTGGACACATTACCTACCAAAACAAACTCTTGAGGATATAAAAAGTGAATAGACCAATAGCAAGTAATAAGACTGAATCAGTAATTAAGTCTCCCAAAAAAGAGAAACTGAGCACTGGATAACATCGCTGCCAGATTTTACAGACCACTCCTGAGAAACCTTCTATACTAATTCTATGATG